GGTTTAGGGCTGTTGTGCATAGGGTCGCTATGAGTCGCAAACAACTCGAAGGCACATAACAACAACAACAACAGTTTATCAGAGGGCTCCCAGGGGAGACCTGACAGGACCAGGATCAAGAGAGGGAAGAGAGCGAGCAAGTGGAAATGTCACTTGATCCCAGCGAGGTGGGGTGGGCGTGAGGGCTGGGGAGTAGAGCTTCTGGAGCATAAATCACAGGGCATCTCTCCTCAGAACAAAGGGGACCGGCCCTTTGTCCCACCTCCCTGACCCTCCCCACCCCCATTAGTGGGCTGTGGCTGAAGGGAGCAGGTAGTCTTGCTGGTATGGAATCTAGCGGGTCTCCATTGGCCGAGTGTCCAGATCTTCTTCAGCAGCTCGGTGCTCAGCATACAGGATGCCCAATTAAACCTGAATTTCAATCAGCACTTTTTTCTTTCTGACGTAAGTGCTCACCAGCAGCTCCTTAGGTGAAAGATAGACAGTCTTCTCCTTTGTGACGTACAGCTTCAGAAACCCAAGGGAGGGTCAACTGCGAGTCAGTTCTCACAGCAGTGAGCGTTTAAAAAAACATACCCACGTAGACACACATCTCGGGGAGGACGGTGAGGAAACCTCCTCTCACGTATTATGGGCATGTGGTTAGGAGGGGTCAGTCCTTGGAAAAAGACCTCATACTGGGAAAGGTGGGGGCTCAGAGAGAGCAAGGAAGGCACGCAATGAGGCGGATGGGCGCAGTGACTGTAACAATGGCTGTGAAGATGGCCCAGGATAGATCAAGTTTCCAATCTGTTGTCCAGAGTCGCTATGAGTTGTAGTGAACTCAATGGGCCTACCACATATACACGAAGTGGGACGTACGTAAAAACCCAAAATTCATTATGGGTTTGTGTGTGTGTGTGTGTGTGTGTGTGTGTGTGTGTGTGTGAGTGTGTATCATCAAATCAGATCTGACTGGTACAGGAGGAGATTGCCCCTCCTTCTTCAGCACAGCATCTGGTGGATTCAGACCCCGTACCTCTGCAGTTGCAGTGCAGCTTCTTTTTTTTAAAAAAAATAATTTTAATAATTTTAATGAACATTTACAGAGATTTTGGATTTCCATTCATTCATTGTTGCACTTTTCTCCCTGCCTAGCCCTCCCGCCCACCCCCACACCAGTTTGCTCCTCTCTTTGAAAAAGTAAAAGAAAAAGTCTTTCTTTGGTATACAATCCCCCCGCACCCCTCTTGTCACTAGGCCACCAGAGCTCCAACCCAAAGCTCATCATAAAGTCAGTTCCAGTTCGCAGTGAGCCTGCAAGATGAGAACTGCCCCATCACATTCCCAAGGTGATAAACCTATACAGAAGCATTCTGTCGCATCTTTCACCTGCAGCAACTAGTGAGTTCAAACCACTGTTTTTCTGGTTTGTAGCTTAGTGCTTTAACCTCTGTGCCACCAAAAATATTCCTCGTTTATCTGAAAATCAGACTTCATTGGCAGTCTGTGTTTTATTTGACAGCTCTACCCCAATAGCATTCACTACATAGATACACACATACTTTTTTTTCACACATACATTTTAAAAATTAAGCAGGCAAGTTACCTTTAAACACATTTAAAAATTAAAATGGATTAATAGATGAATAGAGGAATGAATGGATAGGTAATAATGCAGAATAGAAAAATAATAATGATAGTATCTAAGTGGTAAGTTTGCAATTTTTTAAAAATAAAATGTTGAGGGGGAGCTCTGGTGGCCTAGTGGCAAGAAGCTGTACTACAATGCCAGAGGGGTGAGGTTCGAATCCATCAGATGCTCTGCCAGAAAAGGAGGGACAACCTCCTCCTGTACCAGTCAGATCCGATTTGACAGTACACACACACAAAATAATAAAATTAAAATAAAATGTTGAAGGGAGCTCTGGTGACCTAGTGGCAAGAAGTTGCACTGCAATCCCAGAGTTACGTGGTTCAAATCCACTAGACGCTCCATTGAAGGAGGGACAATCTCCTCCTGTACCAGTCAGATCCGATTTGATGGTACACATACTACTACTACTACTAAAATAAAATGTTGACAAGAAATTAAAGCAATACCTTATTGTTGTTGCTGCTGTTATGTACCATCGAGTCATCTGTTACTCACAGCCACACTGTGTACAACAGCACTGAACCCTGCCCTATTCTGACCAATCTCACTGTCTCCAACACACTTTATTAAGAAACTCTAGCTTTGGTGGCCTACTGACAAGAAGCTGCACTGTAATCACAAATGCCTGCAGTTCGAATCTCACCAGCTGCTCCACGGGAGAAAGGTGGTCAATCTCCTTCAGTGTGATTAATTGCCTCTGGAGGGAAAACCCATTGGAGAGTTAGTTGTGGGTTCATTCCAACTTGATGGCACAGAACAACGAGTGGTTTAGTAGGGAACTCTCTTACCACCTCTCGTGGTAAGGAGTTGTGCTGTCAAACTAAAGGCATGCAGTTCAAAACCACCAGCTGGAAGATGGACAGTCTCTGCTTGTGTGATTTACAGCCTCTGAAAAGCCACTGAAGGATCAGCTATGGGTCAGTTCTGCCTCGATGGCTCATAACAACAAGTGGCACAATCGTTCAGCACTCAAGTACTAACCGAGAGGCTCGTGGTTTGAAGCCATTTGACATCTGTTTGGGAGAAAGGCCTGATCTGCTTCTATAAAGAATATGGCCACGCAAACCCTGCTCTTACACCTGGGCTTCTGTGGCGTCAGACCTGACACAGAGTCCACAACAATATAGGTGCTGTTAGGCAATCTACTTTTCTTTGCAAGAAAAGATACTTTTAAAATACCTTTCAGCAATTATAAATATGCAAACATTTTTGTTTAAACGTAGACCTGTGTCCTTTTCACTGGTCCCCATCTCTTCTCCCTGACTCCGGGCATTTGATCCATGTTCTTCCCTCAACTCCCTGGGCTCACGTGCAGTTACGAGGGCTCAGGTGCACCCAGGAGACTCAGCACTGAGCAGGAATGCATCAGACAGCAGTGGGAGTTAGTGAAAACCCATCTCCTCCCACCTCTGACCGCTTCTCTTGATCTTCTCCCAAAGGCACCCTCAGTGCCAGCCTCTCTATAGCCCTTCAGTGAGAAACACGTCCTGTGTAAGCGCCCATACCCCCTTTGCCCATGCTGTTTCGCACTCTGCTTTTCCACCAGTGATTTGGGGATGGCTCTGAGCAAGTGGACGCATAATTGCCGTGTTATTGTAATGGTTGTGATTTTCCATCGTGCGGATGTGTCATCCCTCGCTCTGCATCCACCTCACTGCCATCCATGCTGTTTTCCGGTTGTGGTGGGCAGAGGGCAGGAAGTGAACCTGTCCTGGGAGCACTGGCCCTAGGCTGCTGTATGCAGCCCCCAGAGCCCACCTGGACATCAAGCCCACCCCCCTTCCAGAAGCTTTGAGGGTAACTGTGAGAGCTCTGAGCTCCAGAGAGCTTTACCTCTGTTCTTGGTAAATGAGGGGTGCAGAGATGACAGTTCTTCAGCGCCCTGGAACGCAGAGACTGCTGTGACTCCAGCCTCCACCTGGCTCTATTCTCTCCTCTGACCTGGCAGTAGAGCAGGGACCTGGCTGAGGGACAGCCCTGAGTATGTCCCCACGGTATGCCCCAGGGAACCCTGGGAACAACCAGCAGGTCATGGAGCTTCACTTGTCAGGCAGGAAAGCAAAGCTCAGAAAGACAGAGTAACTTAGCCAGAGTTAACACAACTTGAAAAGTAGCAGAGATCTGAGCCATGGGGTCCTTGCACAAGGCTGTTCTGCCCAGTAAGTTACTCCTGAGGCCTTGGAGCAGCAAAGGGGACCAGACTCTGATCGTCCTTTACCTTTGGGAGACGCCAGAGCGCCTGATGCAGTGCACTCTTGTTCACCCACGTTTGCACAGCACCTGGTACCTGGTTTGTGCTCGGAGGCCATCTGGACAACGGGAATGTTGGCTGTAGGGGTGTGAGACGGAGGGTGGGAGTCGGGGGCAGGGGTCCCACGTGTAACCTGCTGTCTCGTCCCTTCTGTAGTCCGACTCCATGACAGCATCTCTGAGGAAGGACACCATTACCTGATCTTTGACCTGTGAGTTCACCCTCGCCCTGGCCTGGAGGTGGGAGCAGCCAGGATAGGGAAGGGCCCCCACGGCCTGAACACATGTTCCTTGTGCAGGGCTGAATTCCTTCTTCTGGTCTGGAGTTTCCCTAGCACTGCTTGTTGGTTTTCATGCTAAATCAACACACACTTTTAACCTTCTTGAATACATATTTATGTGTGTTTTTTTCCCCTATTTATGGCCAGTGGTGTTGGTTTTCTACTTAAGGTGGATATTTAAAGCTATCTTTAGAATATATTCATGTTTTTAAAAGCCAAATGATTGAGGCAAAGACAGATTTTGGTAGTTGAGATTCAACAACATTGGTATCATATGTGACAAAATCCAGTTTTCAGAAACCTAAATGAACCTGGTATAATGGTTGGTGCACTCGTCTGCCAACTAAGAGGTTGGTCATTCAAATCCACCAGCCATTCCATGGGAGAAATGTGAGGCAATCTGTGTCTACAAAAATTTACAATCTTGGAAATCCCTCAGGCAATTGTACTCTGTTCTACAGGGTCACTGTGAATCAGAACCCATTTGAATGCAGTGAGATTGAATTCTGAATGTGCCAGCACCACTCCTAATGCCAGCCTAGGGTCCAGGGTGGGGGAACAGCAGGAGACAGAGGGGCAAGGGGAAAGAACAGTCAGTGGAAGGTATACCAGAGTGGTCAGCAAGGGTACCCCAGGTGGCCCAGGGGTTTGGATTCTGGCCCCCACCTTTGGAGGCTGAGCTACTCAGGTCTCTAGGGGCCTGTCCTTAGTTCCCTAGAGACTCTCATGGACAAGGGTGTCCCTGTGTCTTCTGTGAGAGGATGACTTCTTGCTGTGTTCCCAGGGTCACCGGGGGGGAGCTGTTCGAAGACATCGTGGCCCGGGAGTACTACAGTGAGGCCGATGCCAGGTGAGTGTTGGCAGCATGGCAGACAGCACCTGGGGACGGGCACTTGCCTATCCTCATATGGGGACCCCTTTCTTCTCTCTCTCCACAGTCACTGTATCCAGCAGATACTGGAGGCCGTGCTCCACTGCCACCAGATGGGGGTGGTGCATCGGGACCTGAAGGTGAGCTTGTGGGGGGACCTGTCACAGCCCTGCTTTCTCTCTGATTAAGGCTTGGCAGGGAGACTTGTCCTCACTTTTTGGATGAGGAAGCTGGGCTCAGGGAGGGAGAGATTCAGCTTGGGACCTAAATACTTGACTTCCAGCCCCATGTGCTCTGTGCCAGGCCCGTAGGCATACTGGTAGGCTGCCAAGACTGACTACGGACACCTTGGTTCAGATCCCAGCCAGGCAAGTTTCTAGCTGCATGGCCTGAAGTATCAGCCTCTCTGAGTCTCAGCTTCTTACCATGGGGCTTGCCAGAACCTCTGCAAGAAATTACCAAAATCCCACTCAGTTCTGACTCAGCAGCTCTCCATCAGTTCCAAGACCCTAAATCTTTATGGAGAGGAGACTGACCAGGTCGATTTGGACTGCCAGCTTTCTAACTCACAGAGCCCGATATGCTATGCCCAATTCAGCAGAGCTCCTTCTGCAAGGAGTTGGTGGGATATCATATAAATAGCGCACGCGCGCACACACACACACACACACACACACACACACACACACACACACACATCTTTCTAGCTACTGAGTTGTCAGGCAGGTTGGGGGAAGAAGATGTCTAAGACTTAAGGTTCTCAGAGTGGCCCCTGAAGAAGACTGACAGGACCAGACAAGTGTGGGATTTGGGATTAGCTGAAGTTGCCCAGCCCTGCCTCATCAGTGCAAGCTTCATGGATGACTCTGTGGGGCCTCAGTGGCTGATAGCTCATAATATCACTCCCATCTTTCAGAGCAGGAAACTATGACCCAAAGAGTTCAAGGGCTTTGCCCCAGGACGTGCTGGTCCTCTGTGGACTAGGCCTGGAGCTATGACTCTGGATCCTGTGCCCTCAAAGGCTGCTTCTATTGTAGCTCTTACAGGTGACCCTGCCAGTAAAACAAACCTCTGCTTTACCCTGATGACAAACTCACTTCCCATTGCATAACCCCTACCTAGTGTGTTGGACCTAGCATGCTCCTTCCATCTTTCCTTGGTGGTGGTGGGGGGGCTTCCCAGTTGCCTTCTGGGACTGCAGAGACCAGCATCTACCTCGGAGCAGCCCCCGAGGGACCAGGAGAGCAATACGGCAGCTCTCGAATTGTCTGCTGGCTGCATTGCTCACTCTCACCAAGACATGCTTTTCTGGACCCCCTTACCTGTCAATCCAGGTCTCTCTTGGGGTACCCAGTTCTGCTGATTAGAATCCCAAATGAGTTCTTTTGGACTTGGTGTAGACCATGGACGAGCCTGCACTCAGAGAGGGTCTCGGGTCAGTCGGCAAGGCCATTTTCCCAGAGGGCCTGTTCCCATTATATCTCCAGCCCCTGCGCGGGGAGGAGGGGCAGCCCAAATTTAGGCCACTCTGGGTAGATTAATTAGTAGCACATTCATCAAATCAGGGCAGGACGGCTACCAAGACCCAGGATATGTTGGGAATTCTGTACCCCAAGGACAAAGGAGGCGTGAACGGGCTGGACAGACCTGAGCGATGTTTTACAGTCCTGCCTAGCTTTGGGTGGTGAACGATCAGACCTGGAACCACTTGGAAGTCCTGATGGGAAGCAAGCAGGAGATAGATCAGCTGTGACTCTGAAACCCTCCCCAAGGGGAAACTATGACTCCTAATGTTTGTCTGCATTTCCTGGTTTACCTTCAGAGGAATAAAGTGATCTGGTCAAGTTCTGCAGTGTATGGCGACTGGCAGCGAGGACGGTTCAATTGTGGAGGTCCATACTCTTAGCTCCTCTGCTCTGAGTCCCAAGCTGGAGGGGAGCTTCCAGTCTTCCAGACCATCCGACAGTGCAGGAGTTCCAAAAGTCTGATCTAACAGAGGGCAGCATCCGTGGTGCCCAAGAGACCAGGGGACGTGCCCTCATTCTGCGGCTGGTCCCTGTACTGGACTCTACCAGCTTTCATTCTAGAGAAGTTTAAGCACAATCCAGTCACACTTGCCTCAGTTCTGACTCTCACTCACCTGCTGTGTGATCCCACTCAAGTCACCTCTTTTGAGTCCTGTTTCCTCATCTTTATTCATGGCAAGTATGTACATGCCAGCCATTGTCCTAGGGGATGGTGAAACAACGTACAGGATTGACAAGGAACTCATATTGAACAAGCACTTGGGCAGATGAGGAAGATCCTTCCACCCTGGGATGGGATCGCTAAGGCAACACAGAAGAGTTAGGCCAGAGGCCACCTGCGGCTCCTTCAAGTAGTCATGGGGGACTTTGAGGAGACAAATGGTTGAAAACTGGATGGTGAGAAGAGGGCAGTTCTATGAAGCCCAGAGGTAGAGCAGTCCAGGCTGGAGGAACAGGAAGTGCAAAGGTCCTGAGGTAGAAAAAAGTGCTCATTTCAGGCAGTGTCAGAAGACTATTGTGTAAAATGGAAATGCAGGAATGTCTCAGGGATATTGTGAGTCCTGTTCCAGATGACCAAAAAGAAAGTCATACAGTTTTTTTGTTCTCCATGGGGAAAAAAAGTTATACTTACACTATATTGGTGTTTGTTAAGTGAGCAATAGCATAATACTGGCAAGTTATCAACAAGTTATTGGCAAGTCATTAACGTGGCAGAGACACAAACTGAGCACATGCTGTTGGGGAGTGGGGTTTATAGTGCTAATAGAGTTGTTCAAAGTAAGATTTCCTCGATCTTCCATTAGTAAAAAATGCCATTTCTGTGAAATGACACAGAGCAAAGCCCAATAAAATGATGTGTGACTGTCCGATACCTACTCCAAAGTGTTGTTGGGGTGAATGCATGAGTCAATGCACAGAGTGCTTGGCCCAGCTCTGCCATGTAATAGAGGCATAGGAATGTTATTTTTTTCTTCCTTATTGTGGTAACTGTAGCTATTTCCTGGCCCTACTTCAGCCCAGTTTCAGATCCTGAGGGAAGGGGAGGGAAGGAAGGGTGCTGGTGAGGAAGAGTCTTCCTGTTACAGATCACAGAGGTTTGGACACAGTGTTGTCCCCTCTCTGGGGACAGATGCATAGGGCCCTGGCGGGGGACAGGGTGGGGGTTGTGAGGTGGGAGTCTGTGAATGGGCCTGCTGCTTCTCCTGTAAGTCCAGCCCTCTTTATGCCCCCCTAAAATGAGGCTTTGATCCCACTGATGGTCTAATTGATCCTCTCTTCCTCCTTTCTCCCTGCTCTCTGGTCCTGTGAAGCCTGAGAATCTGCTGCTGGCCTCCAAGCTCAAGGGCGCTGCGGTGAAGCTGGCTGACTTTGGCCTGGCCATAGAAGTAGAAGGGGAGCAACAGGCCTGGTTCGGTGAGTGGCAAGGATGTTAGGGCCCAGCCTTTGTGCTGACAATTGACCTGTAGAAGCCCTCCATCAAGTGGCGGTGGGCTGGAGATAGTTGTTGGACCATTTCTGTTGTCAAGCCCAGGCTTGGGGTGCAGAGCTCCACCCTATCCAGTCCCCTCTGGGCTTTGCCCATCCTGTCTAAGGGCTGGGCTCACAGACACGGTCATCTTTAGAACAGCAGCCTGGCTTCTCCCCATGAGCATCCTCCTTCACTGAGGGATGAGGACTTCCCCTAGCAGCCCAGGTGTTAGAAAGTAGTAACCTGAGTTTACAGTTGCCCAAACAGAGGCTAATAAATTTGGAAAAGTCCAATGGCACTTAAAAGGCATTCCTCGGGACTTCAGCTTGGATGACTGATGCTTTTTGAGGTTTGGGGGTGATTTTGGTCCCTTTCAACTATCTAAGGACCTCTGGTGGCCTAGTAGTAAAGACCGATGCTACCAACTCGAAGGTGGGCAGTTTGTCTACCAGCTGCTGTGCAGGGGAAAAGTGGGAACTCTCCTCCCGTGTTATTTAAAGCTTTTGAAAACCTACCAGAGGATTGACTATGTGTTGGTTCCAACCCCATGGCAATGGGTTTTCCTGTTATCTAGGGAGCTCTGGTGAGAGACCTTGTGGGTAAGGAGTTGCATGGGCAACACAAAGGCAGGCTCTTCAAATTCACAAGCTGCTGGGGAGCTCTGGTGGCCTGGTGGCAAGAAGCTGCAACTACAATCCCAGAGGTGCACGGATCGACTCCACCAGATGCTCTGCCGGGGAAGGAGGGACAATCTCCTCCTGTACCAGTCAGATCTGATTTGATGGTACATGCACACAAAAATAATAAAATAAAATTTTAAAAAAATTTTAAACAAAAAATTCACGAGCTGCTCTACAGAAGATAGAGAGGCAGGCAATCTCCTCCCAAGCAGTCGAAAAACTGCCAAAGGGTCAGTTCTGAGTTGGTTTCAGCTGGACAGCAGTGAGACAGTTTAGGTATCAGTAACACTTTCTTAGTGGAAAATAGAAATCAATGGTTATGACCCAGAGCCCTCGGTTCAAACCCTGATTTGGTGACTCAGGAGCTACTTGACTTGAGGCAAATAATTTCACCTGTTGATTCCTCATCTGTAAAACTGATCTGTAAGGATTCAAAGAAATCAAGCAGGTAGATTGTTCAGCTCCACAATTAATGTGCATCCAATAAATAGTGGTCAGTCTTACAATTACTTGTAGAAAACTTCTTGTCCATTGTTTCAATTACTCCTTCCAAGGGTGCTGGGGGTTAAGAAGCCACCAGTTGCCGAGGAGTTGGCTCTGACTCATAGTGATGACCCCGCATTCGTAAGAGGAGAACTTTGCTCCATAAGGTGTTCAGTGGATGAGTTTTCAGAAGTCGATTGCCCAGCCTTTCTTCTGGGGCATCTCTAGGTGCATTCAAACTGCCAACATTTGCTTATTAGCTGGGCATCTTTTTTTTTGTTTGTTTCTT